CAATATCTCAAACAAGTACCCTGGAGATGGAAATAATCCCAAGAATCTTGACACATCATGAACCAACACACACGAACAGATTTTCGAGGATAGACAGGACCCTAGAACTGAATGAACAATTAGTCCTTCAAGCGGACAAAGGAACGACAGTTATAATGGTCAGTAAACAACATACCAAGAAATTAGACATGACAAAGTATCGCGTACTAAAGGACCCAAATATGAAGATAAATGGAACCTTACGTGACATGCTGAAAGATAGGAACGGGGGAGAATAATAAATTCACTAATAAAAAAGGATGCACGACCACTATCAGCCTACGGATTACCTAAGAAACACAAAGAAGGCAAACCACTAATGCTGATAGTCAGCAACAAGAATGGAGCAGCACACAAATTAGCAAATATTATATGTCTGAAACTCAAGAAGTTTTGATGTATCAACTATGTAAATAAATATCTCAGGAGAAAAAGCTCTAACGGCCCTGCTGGAGATTTTGGATACGGAAGAGAATATCCTGGAAGCAGGGGATCAGAAGGGAGTCATTAAGATGACTAATCAATCGGACAATAAGAGCTACCTACTTCACATTCAACGGTAACATCTATGAACCAAAATTTTTACTTCCTATGGGATAGCCACTCTTACCTCTTTTGGCAAATGTATACATGAGCAAATTAGAAGAGTGCATAAGCGATACATGAATTATATAATCGGAATTTGGTCATAGGGAAGAGAAAAATTGGAGGATTTCCTGAACTTTATAAGCCAGATTGATGAAAGAGTCAAAATAAAAGAAGAGGAGAGGCGTTCACATTTTCTAGATGTTGAAGTCGTTTGCTCTAATGAGACACTCAAGAGAAAATTGTTCAGAAAGAAGTCATATGCCGAAACAATACTAACTTTTAAGTCTCATCACAACTACAGACTAAAGATAGAAATACTGAGGAGCATGATAATCAAAAACCTACGATTAACGGTCGTGGAATTCTGGGATTTAGAATAGTAAAATTGGACTCGGCAACCGATACCCAAGCGAAGTAAAAAAACGAAGCATACGGGCCATGAAAAACCGACAACAGGACGGGAATAATGAAAGAATAATAAAGACAGAGATTCGCAAAAGTGGCTATGCCTAACTTACCGTGAACTAACTCAAAAACTATGTTTTATATTAAGAAGATGGAATAGTCAGATGACGAGGAAAAAAACAGCACTATATATAAGTTTCGACATGCAAAATTAGAGGGTAGATAAATTAGATTACTCGAAAGTTTGGTGTATAACATGCGGGGCCTACAAAAAGAAATATATTTGCGAAACAGGAGAAATAATCAACATACGAAAAAAGGAAGTTCAAAGGCTCTACAGGAAAATTGATACCGAAAGATCAGAAATAGCGCAACACATTGCAGACTGGACACGAGATCAATTGGAACACAACAGAAATAAGGGCCGCATACTGTGAAAACACAAGGAAACGGAAGATTAGAGAGGCTATTGACATTTTTAGGGAAAGAAATTTAGGGTACGATAGATTGGAAGACGGCGGAATTGGTGATAACTTTGCCTATTGCCTAAGCAAATTCAGAGAAAACAAAGGAGACACCTGGATCAAGGATCTAGCATTGACCAGACGAAAAGGGATTTCAAGGAAGAAGTGGGTGAAGAAGTTTAAGAAATAAAGCGGAAGCCTGCTCGAATAAACAACTAGAATTTTGAAGTATGGCCTTATAGCCAAATTAACTAGAAATCCACTCGAGAGGTGGCAGGCGACCAGAGATAGACGTGCACAGTTTGCTGAGGGTACACAGGTTTAATCAAGAAGATGACGAATAAAGACAATACCTAATTTCTGAAAGCATGGGAATCAGAGCCTGGGCGCTCTGAAGGTGAGGCGGCTTTGTACGTACTACTCAAGGCTTGAGAAATAGCTCTTGCAGTAAAGTGTACACTGGGGCTGTAACCGAACGAAATAGGTCAACCAGAAAGGTAAGAAACGGATTTACGGGAGCATAAAGAAGATTAGGATAGGAAGGTCTAGTCGGATCAGCAAATCGAGAGGGGGGGAGGCAAACAGCAAGTGTGATGACGTCAAGGTAGACTCTCAAAAAAGGACACACCTTTGGAGGGTGCATATAAACAAGTGATAAGTGATAAGGCGAGAGTGAAACAAGAAGGTAGGGAGAAGATAGAGAGATCAAGACTGAACAAGGAATGATAACATAACCGTTTGAGCAGAAAGTTGGTTAAGGGATCTACTTCATTTGTCTCTTTGACGAATCGTAGCTTAGTGCTGAGATTGTCAAGACTCACTGACAATGTCGACGAAGCGTTTGGGAACGTATCAAGTCCACAATTAGACACTGGGAATTATGATAATTACAATAACAGAGAACTTCGGACTAGTTGCGTCCAACTAAGTCCCCTTGAAAACACGACCAAATTGCGAAAACGAATTCAGACTCTCTCTATGCCTACTCAATGACGAAAAAAAGAAGCACTATCTAGGCAACATTCAATTTTACATTAAGCAAGACATCACTATTTGAGAGATTAAGTAATATCGGCAAATCTAGACTTAGATAACACATACCTTATACGGTACTAGCTTTCCAATGTCAGCTATTTGAATTACCAAGTACTGTATGTTAGCTCCGCATCGACTAGAAACTGCGTTTCACTACGAATTAGCTATCCAGGCTAAGTGAACTACATCTGAAAAGCCTAGACTTCTCTTTCACTCACTACTAACAGCTCAATCATCTGATGTCCGTGTTGTTACACGACCAAGCTTGGTGCTAATAATGGCAAGACTTACGGACGATGCTGTTTAGATTACTGGCGAAACTTTTTGGACTGCACTCAGTCAACATTCAGACGCTGGCAATTATCATAACTACTGTAGCAGAGGACTCCTGACAAAATGCGTCCAGCTAGTCAGTCATGACAAGACGACCAAGTTGCGAAAAAGAGGTCAGACCACTTCTATAGGAGACAGAGGCCACAACATCCTATTCTTCATATCGACAATTTGCTCTTCAGAAGTTTTTCGACCTTGTATTCGCAAGTTTTGGAAGGAAGACCTAGAGGAAAGCACCTTGTCCGGAGTCTAAAGTATGCATTATATTTTCCAGAGTCGGACCGTGGACTTGGTACATTCCCAGACGTTTCGCCATTCTTAGCACCACACTACAACTCGTCAAAGAGACAAGTGAAGTCGATCCTTTGACCAAATGTGTGCTAAACAATTGTGGTATCTCTTCTTCTGCCCTGGGCTATTCACCTATCCTATATCCTATAATCACTCCTTCAATATCACAATTTCTTACTTGTTTATCTAGACCTATGTGAAATCTATTCACACTCCCCACTGGTTTCCTCATCCCTTCAAATTTGCAAGGAGTGTTGATCCAAGACCGCGGATTAAGCCGCAATCCTCTCTATTCTGGCCCTATCATAGTCCCCTCTTGCTCTGTAGGGTCCTTCCCTTATCTG